CCGTAAAGTGGGAACTCCAATGTTTGCTGAGCTGAATAAACATCAGACGTGCACGAGCTCGTGTGAAAACAAACGGCCTCCACTTGACGCAAGGGCAGAGGACAGCGACGGAAGTGCCGCGTGAGGGAGCCATCGCCACACGGGAGGGGAGGTGCTGGCTCTACGACATGCCATCAGGTCTTCGCCGTCCGCGAACACACCACCATCGAGAAAGCAACTGAAGCGGCACTCGATGCCGCCATGCTCCACGTAGCAATGTTCCCGCCGCCGACAGCCAGCTGTGCTTGGCTGCACTTGATGGTGGGTGCCCGGTTAGATGACAGAGTACCTCCCTGCACCCTTTCTACCTTTAGATACACAAATACTTGCCGCTGGGCCACGACGGCCTGCAGCATTCAGCCCAGCACTAGGCTACGCAGGTTTGCAGCCCAGGAGCCACAGGCTGCACCCCGCAGCCTGAATTTCTCTAAGTGTGCTCTCACGCGCACAGGACAAAGTCACCTGACAACGCACGTCACATAGAACACGTCCCCACCCCTAAGTGGAGCATGGCTGCAGGTCTCAATTCCTGTATCGTATGCTGTACTTCACTACGAAAACAACAGTCATCTACGCCTGTATCGTATGCTGTACTTCACTACGAAAACAACAGTCATCTACGCCTACAAAACCTGCCCCCCCAAAAAAATCCCGTATGTGTCAGGATGCCATCTCCTGTGGCGTAAGAAACAAAGTCACGCACACAGAGACAGCCAGACTCCAGCTCACAGACGGGGCAGCTCCCAGCTGCCCAGGAGAACAAATGGCAAAGCCGGAGTCAGGGTCACGGCTATTCCTCCAACCACCGGCAGCTGCTCCAAAGTCCTTTCCTGCGGAATGCTAGATGGCTTTCCCAGTTGCAACAGGCACAGAGTTTCAGAGTTAAAGGAGAAACCAAAAGAAGTCACTTACACCTCACGTGATAACCACAGGCCAAACTACCCGATGTTCCACCTTTGAACTGCAACGATCCGCTCACCTTGGGCCAGAGGTCGCTGGCAGGTGCGTTCCCAGCGTTTGTGCACACCCAGGGTTTCTGTGAGGCTCGTCCTACGGCCCTCCACACCTCATCCATAGAACAGACGCCCTGGGGAAGACCACCTCTCCACCACACCCCTGCACCAAGCACTTTAAAAACACCACTTTAGCATCTCCCTTTTAAGAAAAAACAAACATGCAGTAGTTCCGTTACAGTCTGTATCGCAAGGATGCTGAAACACAAAGGTCAGGGGCACGTGGGCCTACCTGCCAGCCAGCCGGAGCAGAGGTGTGAGCCCTGCTCCTAGACACCTGCCCTATTCCTCCCCGCCTGCACCAGGAGCAACTCCACTGCCCACCACCAGCCCTTGCGCCTCTGTACCTACAGCGGAGCCCTCTGCCACCCCCCGTCCAGCTCTTGAGACAGGCTACAGACACGCACACGGCTCTGCACACGATGCCCTGCTGGTCACCAAGCGGACTCTGCTCACGGGAACCAGGGTCCTCAGCACAGCCACGTGCTGACAGCATTCCAAAGACCACGTTCCTGTCAGGTCCAATATAAGGAAACTCAGACAAAGAGCCTGCTAACCATGAAGCAAAATCAAGTCATCTAAAAACAAGCACATGAAGCAACCCAAATGTCCACCCACCGAGAGAACCAGGTAGAACGTGGCCTACCCACAAAACGGAGCACCACTCGGCTACGAAAATGAAGTGCTGATACGTGCATGACAGAGACAACCCTGGAGACACAATGCTGAGTCTAAGAAACCAGACAGGAAAGGCCACGCAGTGTGTGGTCCAACCACGCAACGTCCAGGAGAACCATCCACAGACAGAAAGTGGACTAGTGGCTGTCAGGGGCTGGGGCGAGTGAGGAGGACTGCTAATGGGTACCAGATTTCTCTTCTGGTTGATGAAAATGTTCTGAAATTAGTGGTCATGGTTGCACAACTCTGCGACTCTACTAAAAACCACATAGTGTGTGAATTGTATCTCAATGAAGCTGTTACTAAAAGATACATAAGCACGTGCATATGTCATAGCACATCACTGACACACACAAAAAAATTGCAAAGGAATTAACTTTGTTTCCAGAACTACAGCTTTATATTTAAATAAAAAGACAGGCAATGGTAAGTCTAAAGCCAAGTGTCATCAGTGCTTACCAAGTTGATAGCATTTATCAGCTCAGCTACTAAGCAGAATAAAACTATTTCAATCTACCGTCAGTTTCGCTACAATGAATATTTCCCTTTCTGAAAGTAAAATACAGCTGTATCTATTCTACCCTCCCAACACTTCTAAACTTCTAGAAGTCCTTAGAACAATAAGAATCTTAAAATAAAAACACAGTGAGGGTTTGGAGATGCAAATGCAAATAATGAATATTTCAAAAAGTAGAGTTAAAAAAGAAATAAAGATTTAAATAGGATAAAGAATTTAAAAGAAGAACACAGAGTCTCTAAACTCAAAGAGTTCAAAGCAAAATGCAACTGCTTACAAAAGAAATGTACAACAGGGCTTTGGTGGGGCTGCTGTCAGGATGACACCAAATGTGAGACTGAGGGACTGAGCAGGCAAAACACTCAGGCTGGATTCCGCCCGAGCGGCCTACTCCAGGCAACAAAGCGTTCATCTCGTCTAAGGAGCCAGACATCAGGCCTTAACCACAAAGCGGCAAAGGAACAGAAAGTGAAATAAACATGATTGAAATGACTTTAGCAGCGACACAGCGGACACTCGGGGGAAATCTAGAAACCACAGTTGTTTCGAAAGATGTAAACAATGGCCCCCAAGGTTACTCCTTTTATAATAACCCTCAGTATTAAGGTTCACATGGAATTTTCTGATTTTCAAAAAAAAAAAAAAATTGTCAGCTTCAAGTAACTATTCAAAACTCAAATCAGAACACATAGACACTCGCGACCAAGACCCAGCTATTTCATTCTAGGAAACGTGCCCCGTTCTCGGTTAGCACACCTCTGCAAAACACCGCTTTAAAAAAACAGAGAGAGAACCAAGCAGCACTCACCGCCGTGTGCTGGCTGGGTTACCTGCACAACCCTCCAAACAGGCCTGTGAGGTAGGGGGACACCCCCTACCACTGCCATAGGGAACTTCGAGAGGGCGGGACTCTGGCCAAGGCCGCAGGGCTGGTAACTTCAGAGCTCATGACCCCAAGGTGTTGGGGGCGGTAGACCCCTTCACCTCATCTAAGGGATTTTGGCTAGATGGAAAGGCTCCCCATTTCATAAAAAGGTATTTTTGTTCCAGATGCGGTTCACTGCCCCACCAAAATAGCAATCACCACCTCTGCATACAGCGATGCACCTGCACGTGACAGAGTGCCCTTAAAGAGCTGGTGTGACTAGCAACAGCCGGACGCCACGAATGCACGGGACTGGGAGGACTGACGGACGGCATGTGGAACTGGCCCCGGGACGACGGAGGTTCCAGGACCAGGCGACACCTCCCCGGCATCTCAAGGCTCACACGGAGCTCACCACAACCAACCGCACTTCCGAGGGCCCCGGCTGCCACTGCTGTGGCTGGAGCCCTTTCCTGCCCAGCACACGGGGAATCTGGGGGGTGGGGGGTGGGGGAGGGAATCAACTCAGTGAAAAGAAAACCATAGTCCTGAAGGTAAATGTCACCAAAAAAGATAAGACATCAATTAAAAAACCAATGTAAGTACCACAACCACTTCTTAGAGGAAGACATTAAAAACGAAAAGCCGCCATGTAGGGATGAAAGACAGCTTCAAGAAAACGCCACACACAAGCAACCCAGTTTTCTCAGCCACTCATAAAAGCAAAGTCACGTCAAAGTTTTAAGTGCAAGGAGCATAAAGACGTCGAAAAGCAGCACTCGCACGGCTGGCCGACGGTACCTCTGCCTCTCCAAAGAGAACCGGTTGTAAGCTAAGCACCCACCGCACTGGGTCAAAGGGAGATCTTTTCCTCTGAGAGCAAGATTTTGGCACTGGGTTCCAGGGGGCAGGCAAGCTGATGCCCTTCCTGTCTCACTGGCAGGCGGAGCCCCACTCAGCCCAGCTCCTCACCGAGGCCGGGCACGGAGGCCGGACACGGAGGCCAGTCTGCGGGGAAGGCGGTCCCTGCACGTCACTCAGTGGGCGCTCAGGCTCTGCGAGTCTCTCTCTGTTCAAGCAGCCTGGCTCTTAAAAACAATCTCACACACAGGTTCACAAACACACACATTCAGCACACACATGTACACGCCAGCACACACGTCCGCGCTAGGCGCAGCCCCTCGGGCACTCGGACACCTGGGACACCTGTGCCGAGGACAGCCGACACACGGTCCGACCCCAACTCCCACCTCGCCAGCGGCTCTGGCACAGCCCGAGTCCCGGTAACAAACACCAGATTTGGAGAGAGCAAGGCGATACAATGTTTAACTGTTATCTGTCACCCAAGAGCCCAATTAAAGGGACAAATGCCTTATCGCGCTTGGGCCGACTCTGGCCGGGTGCTGACCCGCTCAGGCGGCGGTCTGGGGCGCGGGGTGTCGTGCGCCCCCGCCGCCAGAGCCCGAGCGTCCAGGCGGGAAGGCCTCGTGGCTGCGGGGTGGAGGCTCAGGCCGGGGCTGGGGTGCAACCCCGGGTGCGGGGTAGCAGCCAGAACGGGGCCCCTGGCGGGGACAAAGCCATTCGGTACAGCCAGAGACGCCAGGTGCAGTCTGGCACTGGGGCCGAGGGTTCGGGACGGGGACGTGGGGCGCAGACCCGGGAGCGGGTGCAGGCGCGGGTCTGGGGTTCGGGGTGGGGCCTTGCGGTGCAGGCGCGGGTCGGGGACTGGGGGTTCAGGGTGGGGACGTGGTGCGCAGACCCGGGAGCGCGGGTCGGGGCTTTGGGGTTCGGGTGGGGGCCGGGCTTGCAGGCGCGGGTCGGGAGCAGGTGCAGGCGGGCAGGGAGGCCCCAGGCCCGCGCAGCGGCGGGCAGTGGCGGCGGCACGTACCTTGTGGCAGGCTGGGCAGGCCGGCGCGCCCTTGCCCCCGGGGCCCCCGCCGCCGCTCAGGCTGCTCTGGATCTGCGTGAGCTCCTGGCGCAGCACCTGCTTCTGGTGGAAGCTGAAGGCCGGGTGGTTGGAGGCCATGGTGAAGAGCAGCAGGAACTCATCGCCCGTGCGGCCCTCGTTGAGCTGCAGCCCGTAGTTGTGGATGATGGAGTCGATGTGCGTGAGCGTGCGGTACAGCACGCCCGCCGCCTCGCGCTGCTCCGAGCCCAGCAGCGCGAGCGACACGAGCAGCTTGCTGCGCACCACCTCGTCCGTCAGGTTGGTGAGGCTGCCCAGGTCGGCCGGGTTGTTGGCCTTGATCTCCGAGTCGCGCAGCGAGTGGTAGTCCTTGCGCGCCAGGTCCTCCAGGCACGAGCCGAGGAAGCGCAGCTCGAGCGGGATGCACAGGTCCAGCAGGCCGCACAGGAACTCCACGCGCTGCGGCGACGGCAGCTCCGAGAACCAGCGGTACACGCCGTCCCTCTGCAGCGGGCAGCGCTTCTCCACCATGCTGCCGCCCGCGCCGCGCCGCGAGCCGGGCCCGGGGGCCGCGCGGGCGGCCGGGGCGCGCCGGCCGGCCGGGGCCGGGCCGGCCGGGCCGGGCGGCGAGGGCGAGGCGCGGGCGCGCGCGGGGGCGGCGGCCGGGCCGGGCCGGGCCGGGCGAGGCGCGGGCGCGCGCGGGGCGCCGGGGCCGGGCGGCCGGGCGGCGAGCGGCCTCGGGCCCCCGCTCACGGGCAGGCTCCCGGCCCGCGCCGTCCCCAGCGGCGGCCGGTGCGCGCGGCGGCGGCGGCGGCTGCTCTCGTCGTCGTCGTCGTCGCCCGGGAGGCGGCCGCCCCCATCTCCCCGCGCGCCGCAGGGTCTGTCACTGCGGGCCGCCCCCCGACGGAGCCGCCCCGGCCATGCCGCCGCCGCCCGCGCCGCCAGGCCGGCCGTTTCCGCGGGCGCGGCTCGCGTCGCCGCCTCGGAGCGCCTCGGGCCGCGCGGCGGACGGGCGCGGCGGCGCGGCGGACACGCGGCGGCGCGGAGGATCCGCGGGCGGGCGGCGGACGGATCCGGGCACGCGGGGCGGCGGGTTCCGGGAGCGGAGGGATCGCGCGCTCGCGCTGACGGGCGGCCGCTCCGGCGCAAGTGGGCGGGGTGGCGGCCTCTCGCGACAGCCCGGGCCGGCCGGGCCCGCCCCCGCCGCCCATTGGCTCGCGCGGCCAGCTCTCGGGCCGTGATTGTTCCGGCTCCCCAATCCGATTCGCCCGCGCCGCGGCCCCGCCTCCGAGCGGGGCTGTCAATCACGGCGGCACCGCCCCCTCCCGCCCCTCGGCGGCAGGCGCGACGCGATTGGCCGGCGCAGCCCGGCGAGGCCGAAAACCCGGGGTGGATTCCCGGGTGCTTTTGTTCCCGCAAATCTGCGCGGAGCATTGTTTTCGGGTGGAGGCCCGGCGCTCGGCCTGGCCGCCGCGCTCCCCGAGCGCTCTAGCGGGGACGCGGCGGAGTGTCCCCTAAGAACGGCCGGGGGGGGGGGTCAGGACACGCGCCCCGGTCCCCAGCTGTCACCGCTCTGCTGTGTGACCTTGGGCGAGTCACTCGGCCTCTCTGAGCCCCCGGCGCCTCCCGGGGAGACTGGGGGTAATGACAACCGCCGGGGGCCGAGGGGAGGCGGTGAGCTCACAGAGGGCGGCCGCCCACGGGTGGAGGCGCTGGCCTGCCTCGGGGTGCGACGGGAGCAGGAGGTTCTCCCCAGAAACCTGCCCCCCGCAAGGGGAGCCTTTCAGTCGCCGGCTTTCGGCGGCGGGATTTCCCCTTGCCCGAGTGGAACCCAGAAAACGCGGGCACGCGGGCCGGGGTCGCGGAGCTCACCTGGCCGGGCTGGGCAGGAAGCGCCTGGCACTGGCGTTGGCACCTGCCGCGCTGGGGGAGGGGCTGAGGCACCCACCTCCTTGACATCCCATCCCAAGGTGAAGAAACTGAGGCACGGGGCAAGGCCTTCCCCGCCTCCCTGCCCGGCCCCTGCAAGCCTGCTTTTGGTGTCTTGGTGTAGGATGGGGTCCCTGCGTGGGTCGGTTTGGCACCTGCTGCCAGGTGCTGCCGGGGCCTGAGCCCTGCGGCCAGCCCCTCCCTACCCAGGGGCTCACAACCTGGCTCTGGGCGGGACTGGCAGTGGGGATTTGCGGAATAAATAAGTGAATTTCTTCGGGATATGGTCCACGGTGCTGAAAACTTCCCAGCTAAACATTCTCCAGCCTCCGGTCTCCAAAGCTGAGCAGACCCTGCAGAGAGCCACAGCTGGGGTGGGGTGGGGGGGACAATTTGCTCCCTCCTGCCCCGGCCCCCTCCACCCCTGAGCACATTTCCCAAGACCCCCCCAGTGTTCTTGGGGATGAGGCGGGAGCCCTGCTAGAAGGTCCAGAATTGGAGGGGGAAAGTTAGGGTAGCTTCCCACACAGGCATGGCGGGGAGGCCAGGCCCAGGTGGGTCCCTCACCTCACCTCCCAGGTACGGACCAACTTCTGTCAATAATTGCATTAATCCTCGTTCCCTTGGACTTCACCTCCTCATGTGATTCCAGGCAAGTGGCCACATTCCTGGATCTAAGGAAGTGAAGGCGCAGGAACACCGAGATTCAAGACCTTTGCTTATTATTGATAGAGCACATTCCTCCGAGAAAGATCTCGGGAAAATCTGAGAGCCTTATCAGCGCTGGGGTTCCTGCGATCCAGCCTGAGCTGGCTGGGAAACCACCGGGCTCCAGCACCAAGGAGACCCGGGTCCCGGTCCCAGCTCTGGCGAGCCGTGTGACCTTGGCCGTTCACTCCACCCCCCCATCCGAGCCTCAGTTTCCTCATCTGTCACAGGGAGCCAGGAACCCTGCCTCCCTGCTGGCAGTGGAAGTCAAGCGTGCTCCATGGGAAGCCCTTGTGAGCTGGGAGGAGGAAGGCCCGAAGCTTTGGAGGTCACGGGGTCAAAGTCCCCCAGCTCCCAACTGCCTTCTGGGTACCTCTTGCTGTGCCGTTCGTTATTTAATGTCTTACTGCATTGAATAGTGTCCCCTCAAAGTTCACGTTCATCCAGAACCCCAGAAGGTGACCCTAATTTGGATCATGGGTCTTTGTAGATATGATCTACAAGGTAAAAAATCAAGATAAAATCATACTGAGTTAGGGTGTGCCCTAAATCCAAGGAGACTGCCTGTGTAGGAGGCAGAAAGGAACACCTGGAGGCTTAGGGGAGAAGGCCCCGTGAGGACAGAGGCAGAGACTGGAGCCAAGGGACGCCTGGGGCCCCCAGGAGCTGGAAGAGGCAGGAAGGACCCTCCCCTGGAGCCTTCAAAGGGATCACAGCCCTGCCCACGCCTTGGCTGTGGACTCCTGGCCCCCGGGGCTGTGTGGGAGGATGAATTTATGTGGCTTCATAAGCCCCCCGGTTTGTGGTTATTTGTTATGGCAGCCACAGGAAACCAGTGCAATGTCATTTCCCTCCTAAACTTCCACGTGGCCCGGCTTAATTCAGTTCACAACAGACAATAAAAACCTACCCTGCAAGGCCAGACCTCACGAGGGGGTTGCGGAGAATGAGACCCGGCCCCTTGGCTTTAAGGAACTGGCGGCCTAGACCAGGAGAGGGCGGACACTCACCTGTTCTCCCTCCAGCACTCTGGGGCCTGGGCCCCCGGACCTGGGATTTCTGCGCTGCTGCTGCCGGGTGCCTGCTCTCACTCCCGCTTCTCTGTCCCCGCAGGGGCACAGGGTGAGGCCTGGCCGCACGCGGGTCTCTCCCCACCTCGGCCTTGGCATCTGCTGCCTGCTCCTCCTCCAGAGAGCACAGCAGCCGAAGCACACCAGCCCCAGACCTGGTGGAGTCCCCGGGGCGGAGGCAGGGGAGGGCTGGGCCAGAGCGTGGGCTGTGCCTCCAGGTGAGTGCCACAGGCCACGGGCCACGGGACAGGGGGTGGGTGGTGTGTCCAGACGCGGCACCGAGCGGGAAAGCACATCCACTCCTACTCACCCCAGAGCTGCCCCTGCCTCCCCCTGGGGCTGGGCGGGGACACCTTGGGGTGCTGGAGCTCTGATTAGAGCTGGAGCTCAAAATCTAGGGTTCCAAGATAGGTCCATCTGCATTTTTGTTTACTTTTTTTTTTTTTTGAGACAGAGTCTCACTCTGTTGCCCGGGCTAGAGAGCCATGGCGTCAGCCTAGCTCACAGCAACCTCCAACTCCTGGGCTCAAGCGATCCTCCTGCCTCAGCCTCCCGAATAGCTGGGACTACAGGCATGCACTACCATGCCTGGCTAACTTTTTCTATATACATTAGTTAGCCGATTAATTTCTTTCTATTTATAGTAGAGACGGGGTCTCGCTCTTGCTCAGGCTGGTCTTGAACTCCTGACCTTGAGCAATCCTCCTGCCTCGGCCTCCCAGAGTGCTAGGATTACAGGCATGAGCCTCCTCACCCAGCCTATATATGTTTTTAGTTGGCCAATTAATTTCTATTTTTAGTAGAGACAGAGTCTCTCTCTCTTGCTCAGGCTGGTTTCAATCTCCTGACCTTGAGCTATCCGCCTGCCTCGGCCTCCCAGAGTGCTAGGATTACAGGTGTGAGCCACCGCGCCCGGCCTGTCTGCATTTTTATTTGTGCCAAATTGGTTACCTCTGGGTGTAAGACCAGCGAGAGGTGGGGACTGCCCCTTCCACAGGGCTGGAATCAAGCATAAATCACTTTAATAGTTTTGTTTGTGTTTTTTTTTAGAGAGGCTTGGAGTTCACCACAAATTCCCCAGTTTTGCAATGGAGGTATGACATGCCTGGGGTTACTTCTTATGTCCCAACTAGCGGCACTGACTCAGAGGACCACAGCAGGTGGCCAGGCCAAGCCTAGAAACGGGCCCCTGGTCCACGCTCTTCCCCGGGCCACTGTGGTCGTTGTCTTGCTTTCCCTTCCCACTTAGCATCCGCCCGAGAGGAGGAGTCTGGGCCTCGGGTGAGCCGGCGGAGGAAGATGTAGGATTCCCAGGAACGGTCCGATGAGGAGGCGCGTTCCCCACGCAGCCGGGTGGGACATCCCCAACGTCTCCAGGTGGGACGCACCTGCAGGGTTTCCTCTTTCCTTTGGCCTGAGCCCTGTCGTCCTGGGGTTGAGAAGGTTCTGGGCCCAGCACCCCTCACATGGAAGCCGCAATTCCAGTGGACCCCCCAAACGTGCTAGGGGTCCTTGCTCCGTGTCCCGGCTCCCGGCAGCTTCGTGTGATGGCCACAGCCTGTGGGGCTGGTCCCGGTACTGCCGTCGTCGGAATTCTCAGGTTGCAGGTGCGGGACAGTGTGGGCTGCGGGCTGGGCCGGCGGTGAGTGCGTATTGGAACTGGATCCCGACCCCAGCCAAGGGCCCACAGACTCTGCCCCTCCCAGGAAAGACACAAAGGTGCCACACCGTTTCTTCACTACCTTTGCAAAGGTGCTTGCTGCCTGCCAGCTTCTCCCAGCCGTGACTGCTGACAAAGTCCACCTGGAGTCGTAAAAGAGCAGTCATCCCCGAACGCCGCCCCGCCCCGTCTCTGTACAGCGACTCGTT